CACCTATTGAAACTTTGTGGCACGAGATGAAAAAGGTTCTATGACAACATCCTCCTCGTACAATCACCGAACTGAGACAAAAGCTTCAAGAAATATGGGATTGTTTTACACCAAATGTTTGGAAAAACTTGGTTAACACTATGCCCTAAAGAATTTCAGCCGTAATAAAAAATAAAGGTGATGTTACCCAATAGTAATCTTTCAATTGTTGCTTTGTTAACTTCGCGCATTTATTCGCACATTGTTTATTTGTTCAGATGTTCTATTAGTTATAGGTCAAATATGTATTTTTTACGACTAGAGTGTATCTAAAATGTTTTTCGGAAAATAAATTGTTTTGGAGTAAATAGTTTCGTCATGTTTAGTTTATAAATGCATATTTTTATACAAATCTTGAAGTGGGCCAACTGAAGTGAGAAGGGGCTCGTACAAACGCATTTTAATGGTCTTAAGTTATTTAAAACCTTTCACCTTGACTATTGTTAATTTTTCAAAAGTAATAACTTCGTAACGGCAATGTATTCTATCTATAATGATATTCTTCATTAAATTGCATACTAAAATTGTCATGTAAAATCGATAACACAAAAAATATTAGGCAAATATTCAAAAGAAAAAGCTTTTCTACAATGCATTTTATACCGACGCGACGAGCGGAACATTTGTCACCGAGTGACGCCACCCAAAAATGCGACCACAAAGTGAGTATGTCTTCTCGAGTAATAGTTATGACGTTTCATAAACCTACTGAAATACTGCAACGCTTGGCATCGCCGCATTCACCGCAAGATGCTACACAGGTAGTACGCGGCTATTCACCTGACCGCAGCATCCAGCGAGACTCGCGCAACTCCCATTTTACTTTTTAAATCGCTTCAGTCGCGCCGAAGCCGTAAGTACTACCTGCAGCGATACGATCCACCAATCATGATACAACGTGCAACAATCACGTGTGCGGATTCACTCGTGGTACTACAATCGTATATTCACAAACGAGATCCACTTCAACATTACCGAAATGCAAGGTAATGTGGTAGTTACTGCCTACGCTAGCATTGACAGGGTCTCGAACTGAAGCGGTACTAGCGTTACAGGACGGCTCTATGTCAGTACGGACAAAATACCAAGAGATAGAAGCCAAGGTTATTATACGAGGGCGGTATAATTTCATTAGTTGCCGCACGGACATGATATGAAGTAGCTAGTTACGTACAGGGTGTTCCATACTTGAATGGACATAGTGTAGTGGTAGGTAGGATGAACCAAGACCTTTGCATATCTGAAAATAAGAAAGTTCTAAATTCGATGTTTACGGATATGTCGAAACGCGCAACATTTTTAATATCACGTACCTCAAGCACTATTTAACCGATTATGTTGAAAGTCTCCACGATAAAAAAGTATTTGCCCAGGAGTAACGTTAAACTAGACAGACGTTAAAAAATCCAGGGCCGAACTCAAGTTTTTCACTTTTTTGTTTTTATCAAAATCAATACCTTTCAAGCTGAATACTGCAATGATTGACTAGGTACAAACAAAGCCAATGAGTGGTGCTAATTAAATATACTAAGTGACATATAAATCCGAACACCCAGTTTAAATGGTTTTATTTTAATAAAAGTTGGTGAATGTATTTATCTTACTGTAAATAACAAGTGAAAAAATTTTCAGCCTTATCAGTTGGACATTCCGGTTTTTATACTGCTTTTTTTTTAATTCACTAACGCTCTAAAAATGAATATTTCAGCCGGCGAATGAGAAGTTTTGGCTTGTTTTCATACCGGCCACACTGGGTCCTCCGTTTAACTCGAGAACACCGACGTAATCGCCTTGAGTGGTGCAGACAACGGTCACTCTGGGATCAGGAATGGAACAGTATTGTCTTTAGTGACGAGTCTCAATTTTGTTTAGGCATGCACGATGGTCGTGCCAGGGTTAGAAGGCGACGTGGTGAAAGGAGGAATCCACAGTTTTTTGTTGAAAGACATGTTCATCACACTGTTGGAGTTATGGTTTGGGGTGCTATAGCTTATGGTTCCAGGTCACCTTTAATCTTCATCAGAGGTAACATGAACGCGCAGCGTTATATATATCCACGAAGTTCTAGATCCCCATCTTTTACCCTATCTTGACACCCTGGCAGATCTAACTTTCCAACAGGATAATGCCCGACCACATGTTGCAAGAGTCACAATAGACTTCTTTCAACATAATGATGTCACATTGTTACCATGGCCACCAAGATCTCCCGACTTATCCCCAATTGAGCACGTGTGGGATATGATGGGTAGGAGATTGCTCAATTTGCAACGTCCTCCTCAGACTCTAGAAGCACTTCGAGAGGAGTTGGTGGTTGCCTGGAATGAGATACCACAGGAGGACATTGACCACCTGATCAGAAGCGTGCCTAGGCGCGTTGGAGAATGCGTAGCACATCAGGGTGCATCAACACATTATTAAAGGTCAAAGGGCTTTAAAGCAGTGCAATCATTTTGAAATTTTTATCATTTACTCATTATGCTTCATTAAGTACTTATACAAAATTTTATTAAAATAAAACCATTTAAACTGGGTGTTCGGATTTATATGTCACTTAGTATAAATAGCTAAACTAAAGATATACTGAGAACTCAACAATCCTGGGTTGGATTCAGTTTTGTATTCCCTTGGACCCTATCCTATAACTTATACTCTGAATTTATTAGTACTTTGCAGAAAAACACAACATATAAAAGAAACGTAAATTAAATGATATGAACCCTATTTAATTTTGTCAGTAATTTTTTAATGATCTAGTTCTACCGTCTGATTTAATAACGACATTTAGTATGCAAATGCACAGAACATGACTCTCCAGACCAATTCTAGATAATGATGAAAATACAGTAAAACCTCTTAAACAGGTTTGGACTCAGCATTTTCCGCATTGTTACGTTTACTCTCATCACAGCCCTACACTAGATTTAGTTACACGATGCATATGAAAAATCAAAAAAGCGCAAAAATCGAGTCCGATCCTATATTTTTCAACCGTTCGTCTAGTCTTATGTTACTCCTAAGTAACTCTCTTGTCGTGCAAAATTTCAACAAAATTGGTTCAAAAGTGCCTGAGATATGTGATATTAAGGATCTGGCGTGTTTAGATAAACCACCCTGTATATCCGTTTATAACGAATTTTGACCTTTTTTATTCTCATGTAAATCCATTTAAGTACAGCAAATTTCCGGTTTTACATCTGAACGGTGATTTGTCTATCGCAAAAAAGTACTGTAACGAAAACACCGTTTTACTGTTCAAAGTCTAATTTATTACTGCTACACTATTTTATAACAAATTTATAACTATCTCGACTACGCTATTATCCCATCTTAATTGTGCGTTCGCTGTCCACTGGTTCGGCTGTGTCTCAACCGTGACTAACTGCTTCCGTCCTATGGTCGGGCATTTATCCACCTATCGACGCGTCGAGAAATATTCCAGCGTCTTCGTGAAATATAATGGACGTCATTTAAATGACAGCAGTTATACTCGCGTCCAGAACGCGAGCACGCTCCGTACATGGTCGCGTAACTCTGGTTGCCTAGCGTCGACATCCCGAGACCTCTTCACGCCACTCAAGGTCCCAGCTATACAGGGTGACTTCGAAGTTGAGTCATTTATTTTAACAGTGAGTAGATCTGATCAAAAGAAATGTTTTTTTCCTTTACCATTTTTCTGGTAAAATTAAAGTAACAAAGTTATAGCCCTTTGGAAGTTTGAGTACCGCCCTGTCTCAATAATAATATTATGTGCTCGTGTTTGGCGACAACGGATATAATCCGCCTTATCGGTTCATCGCATCGGAAACAAAAAAGCGAAAGAATTTGGAACGATGTTTTTACAATTATTTCATTCAATTGTACACAGTCAGTGAGTGAATATGGTGTCTGTTGCGTGGCTCAAACGAAATAAAAAATGGCACATGTTTATGCGGATCGGTTTCCCAATCGAGTGCAACCAACCCCTCGTGCCCTTGTACAACGGGCTCGTGAATCAAGAGACTTAAGACCTCACATGGGGACTGCATGCCGGTGCTCCAAGACCTCACGATCAAATACAGGTCCGCACTGAAATACTTGTCGGGGGGATACTTTATAAAACAAGGTAAAAAAATTTTTTTAATTTTTTTTTATTTTTACACACATATTTTGGTTTATCTTCCTTCTACAATCATTATCTGAAAATTAATGACTCAACTTCAAAGTCACCCTGTATATTGGAAAACAATTCGTGTCCTTATTTCAGAAGACAAACTGTGTTTTTTTTCCAACATAAAGATTGATTTTGCGAGATAGGTGTGTGTGATAGGAGATGGCGTTAAACAAAAAATGATGGACAGAAAGGAGTTGATTGCAATCTTGTATTTTCAGCTTCACGCGCAATGTCAATTTATAACTTTTTCCTCAAAATTTCCATAATTCTATTTATCAAAAACAGTCATCGAAGGCATTTTGTTTATTTTGTTAAATGGCACATCTACTACACAGCTAGAATCGTCGTCATTTAGCGGACACGAACAAGACAGCAGGACCCCAACGGGCCACATTAGGTCAATCTAACATCATTAACACGCAAAAAGAAGGTGGTAGACAATGACCAGTCGACCGAGGCGGTATCATCGGTTAGCTTTTCTCATTGTGTCTTATAAATGGCCTCCCATCCTAACCGTGTCGAACTTCGTACATCCATAACTGGCCGGTACGACCGCTCCTTTGTCCCCGAGGGTGTCGAGATTTACAAGAGGAAGCTTTTCCCATTTAGACTTCTGCATGCATGGCTGCCTTGGTATAAAAAAACATCCATCGACAGCTTCAATAACAGTTGTGATACATAGCACAGTGTTCTTTGTTTTCTGTGCCTTCTTCGTTGACCGGTTGTATATTGCATTTGTCTGTACACCATCCACACCTTTGTGTTTGAGCTTACAGTACTTGAATAGCTGATTCCCGCACACTTTGACGTTGATGATGAAAAATAAAAACCAAATTCGGATATAAAAACTTTATTTAAACGTATAAAGACCTGAGGAGTCACAATGAAAAATATTCAACTGTGCATTATCTTGTTCGTTGGGTATTCGCTATCTGGCTTCCTACAAACATGAATACAGCCCCAACAATGTAACTGCTTCGTATACCGAATATTTCGGAAACTGTTCCAGCTAACAATGGACCAAGCACTTGGCCCACTGAAACTACGTTATCAAATGAACTTATTACAATCCCTTTCTCCGAAGCCTCTGTCCTGGACAATAGCAGATTATTCAAAGCAGTGTCAATGAAGGTCTTTGCACATGAAACTGCTGCCATCGCCAATACAAACACTGCTAACGAAGACGTCAAAGCAAGAGTTAGGTAGGCGAGTGCTTCTGCTAAGGTGGAATGCCACAGCATCAAATATCCGAGATCTGTTGGGTAAAATTTTGACTTCATCTTACTCATAACCAACCGACATCCGACCGATACTACCATAATAAGAGTTATCAAGTAGCCGATGTACTTTTCTGACATGTTGTGCTGAGTCCTGAGTGTAAGTCCTGAGCTGTTATAGTACATGAAAAATCCGCATTCGATGAGGAGGTGGATGGTAAAGATGTCCCAGTATCTAGGAGATACGACAAGCTTCTTCAGATCTATATAGACAGATTGTACTTCTTTTAACGCTCCTTCAATTAAGCCAACATCTTTATCGTCATGTTTGGTTCCTTTACTGTCTACCCTTGGCAACGTTTTCACCAATCCTAGAAATATAAAAACAAAAAGATTCGCTTGATGTCAAATAATTGATAATAAAACCGACACCCCAGTTATGTTAAATAATCGCTATAAAAGTGATTTGATCACTATGATTCGCACTATACTATAACTATCTAAAACTGTAATGATTCATCGATGTTCACGTGAACATCACTTAACTACCAGTAGTCGGCTGTTCATAGGCGGGGTATGAATGTTTAACATGGGTGAACTAGATTTGTCACATGCTTAATAAAGAGTGGTTTGAAACATATTGTAAGTCAAAAATTTGGGAATTACCTTTATTCATCGTCGCATCCACTTACATCTGACAGTAATAAACTGTCGCTATCGCTTTCCTCGTTGAAATTGACTATAACTGGCTCTATGATGGTGTCGATGTGGTGGTCAAGCTGCCACATTTTTGTTTCTTCCTTCACAACATGACGGATAGCATTCTGCCAAGCTTCGGACGTTACTAGCTGTATGGAAGTCTCAAGTAAAACCTTAACGTCTGGTAATTTGAAGGTTGTGTTATGGCGCGCAATATAACCCTTCACTTGAGCCCAGATGAGCTCTATTGGGTTCAGTTCACAGTGGTAGGGCGGTAACCGCAGCACAGTGACACCACATTGACGGGCCATCTCATCAGTCACGTAACTAATGTTCGCAGGTTTGTGCTGTTTAATTTTTTCATACAATTCCGCTTTCACACATGAATCGTCAAACGAGATTCCTTTTTCGCGCAACCATTGCTGCATGTCACTTTTTCGAGATCCCATAGTCGGTACACGTTCGGCTCGACGACTATGGTAGGAAGCATTATCCATGACGATCACAGAGTTGGGCTCAACTCGCTGAAGCACTCCTTGAAACCAGCTCTCGAAGCAGCTGGCATTCATTTCGTCATGGTAATCACCTCCTTTCTTAGAGACGAAAATCAATTCACACTCTTCTAAAAAGCCACTATCGCTACCAATATGAGTTACGATCAATCTTTGACCTTTCCCTGACGGTCCACGAAGACCTGTTGACAAACCTTCAATGCTTGCTTGTCGGTTACTCACTACGTTTTTGTCTATCCAGGTTTTTTTAACTATGTGACCTGCATTTACCCATGTCTAGTCCAAATAATAGATTTTTCTGCTTTGTCGCCTATATTCAATCATTTCGCGTAGGTATTTTCGACGCCAGGCGACTATTTCAGGTCTCTCTATAAATACTGACTTCCGATTACGCGTTTCGTAAGGAAAATTAATTTCGTGCAGGGATTTCCTCATTACCTCGACGCTCATTTGGGGTGTAATTTCATTTTCCTTGATCGCTGCATGTACAGCCTTGAGGGTTGGTATCTCATTCCTAAAGAAGAATGGATGTACGGTTCGCCTTAACGCCATTTTGCTATCGTCATCCAATTTAACGGCCTTTCGTCCCTTCAAATTAAACTTTGGATCAGCAGTAGCTCCAGTTTTCTTCTTTTCATGCACCACTCTGGAACGCCTGTCATACTTTTACAACGCGCGAGTGCATCTCCCTGCGACATAGTTCTGTTCGGATAATTGAACACGTTGAGCACGATTTCTTTCGCGTCCCTCTTCAGTGCTTTACGAAGCCGTCTACTTGTTCCCTGGCTTTCAGTACTTCCACTCGTGCCATTTGTACTGTCCATGGTTAAGTATAACCAAAACAGAAACCACAACAATAACAATCACACAACAATTCTTATAAAAACACACAATATGCGATCGCTCAACGAAACACGTTCCAATGCGTTGCCGACGCCTATGAGTCTGCCGGTCGAGGCGCGTCTTTGATTTCATTGGTTCTACAGGCGGATAACAGTCAGCCATTATTTCCATCTGTGTCTGTGCTGTTGACCACCGCAAAGCCACAGAAACGACATATGTTGTACGCTATACGGCTGTACTGGGAGGAAGCCGGGATCGAGCTCTGATCACGTGTTGATCACGCGTATGAGTCATTACAGTTTTAAATAGTTGTAGTATAATTGCTAACTAGTCGGATAGCCCTTGCCAAGCCTACTAGCGGTGAACGTCGTCTAAGGACGAATGCCACATTTACTTAAACTGATACAACTATTCACCTTTGCATAGACTCTTGTCTCAAACCAGTGTATTCGAGACAACAGCCAACGAATGAATCCTTACTGTTTCCTTCCGGCCAGAGTATAGAACGTACAGCCATAGAAGCTATAAATGGCCTCCGATAGCGCCATCTCTGAACCAGAAGTAAAACACATCACACTGTCGGCACATACTTGACGGTTAGGCAACACGTACAGCTACCACAAGTAAATGATGGCTAGTAGATAGTAGAAAGGCGATCAAGATTATCAGATTGCTTCTGAGAATTGCCATCGCTTTCATGATTGTTGCACCTGCGTGTAAGGGTTCGACTGACTAGTATTGGCATGTAACATGATCGTAAAGATTCCGAAATTACTGCAAATAGGTAACAATGATAAGTATTTAGTATTGGGTGCATAGCCGTGCTTACAAGGTGAGCGGATTTCGATTATATTCAGTTTTCCTTCACATGGAAAAATTTGCATGTTTCAACGCTTTTCTGTGACTCTTCTGGCCAGGCATTTGTAGTACAAGTCGGAGGTTTTCCAGATAGATTAAGCTAACAAGCAGTGGCGACGCGTGACTTTTCCTAAACTGTTACCAAAACCAGATGTAAAAAATCTTATTAAAAAAAGTTTATTTCGAACCTCCCAAATATAAGTTTTTGCTTATTTTAGGTATTTCATGTAAACTATTTTTAAATTAAGGTAAACATTTCTGGACGGGGGTCTGTCAGTCGACGTTTCTAGATGTTCGGAAAACTTTTGATCTTTTTTGGCAATGAATCTTAACAATTCCCTGTAATTTCCTCTATTGTTAGAGTCATCCCCTTCAAAATGAACGGTAATTCCTGTTTTTCCAAAAAGCACACCGTATCTAGAAGTGTGCTGCCTAAAAGCTTGGTTAAGACATCTTTCGATTCTTGTTTTGCCAAACTGAATTAAATTGGCTACACATCTCACATGTAACGGAGAAATTTCATGTATCCTCTTTAGAGCCCTAAAACTATTTAAATCACTGACTCCGCTGCATTTTATTCTGTATGAAACAGAAGACATCGCCAATAATATAATCTGTATTTTTACAACCCCATACACCAACTTAATTTAAAATATCAAACCACGTTTTTGATTCCTTTTTAAAATTATCTAAAGTAGGCGTTGGTCTTCCATTTTCAATGATCTCCTTGTTTTCTTAAAAATTATACAAGGAGAATGACTTTTCAAATAGTTGATTGATTACGCAGCGTCAATCATCCATGTTTAATTGCACGCATACTACAGCCGGTAACCAAAACGGCTACTAATGAGTGAGAAATGAGTAATCAAACCAAAAAATGGTAACAAGCCCACATAATAGTCGCAGCGCCCACGCACTCGGGCGACCGCGATAAGACACGAGCCGATTCCGACGGTCCCCGACAGACTACCAATTGTATCCATAAATGAAAATGGTAACAGCCTACAACCAAGTCGAGGCGAGTCAGCTTCATCGTGTTCGCAAGACACTATAGGGCGCGTTATTTTTGTGGGGCTAATTTGCTATTTACTGAATTACTATTACATATCGCTGTTGGTAAACAAATAAATGAAATTATTTCACAGTGCTTAGTCATGAAATAGTTATTTTTAAGATTTTTAACTGTTACCAATGGTAACACTAGTTACATGGACGCATCGCCACTGCTAACAAGGAAAAAATGGAACCTGTTATAGAAAAAATATGTAGAAACAGAATGAAAGTTTGAAAAAATCCTTCTTCTAGAGTCGCGAAACAGCTGGATAAGTTTTCTTATTAGTCGTCAGTGTTGGAAAAATCCTTCATCTAGAGTTACAAAACAGCTGGGTAGGTTTTATTATTAGTCGTCAATGTTGAAAAAATCACATTTTTCATTTTCAAAATACTAGAATTATTAAGTTGTCTACAGAAGGGTTGTCGAGGAAAAAAGGACCAGCAAAATGAGAGATTACCTATGGTGTCGTAAAAAAAGTGAATTCTTCTCAAAAAATGTTTCTAGAGATTTTTTTTAAATTCTGCTTCCCAGGCCATGCGTGGTCGTATTGTAATCGCGAAAAATGTCATGAGACATTATGTTTTTCTGATCTTACAGGACATGTGCGAGGTATGTAAGGTTATAATTTCAATGAAATCAAAGCCACATTGTTATCGAACAATAACATGGGCGCCCACAGGGCATTGACAGGAGGGCGTGGCCTCTCCTGGGAATCTGATTTGACTTTAAAATGTATAGTATGCTTTTGTGTATAACTTTGAGGATTTTTTAAGATTTTTCCCCCTGAGAAAATTTGCTACCTCTGCTCTTCAAAAAATTTTGGGGCTAGGTACAATTTCACAAAAAATTAGCTCTTGACGATGATCAGCGTCCCTGAAAAAAATTTCTGTGGGTGCCCATGGACAATAATATTATTTGTTCTAAGAAGAAAATAAATCTGTGAAATGTAGTTACATATCATCACAACTCAATTTTTTTACTAATTTCTTATTTATGCATGTGCCAACGAATAGGCTGGCGAATGAAAACATCTGGACCATAATGATGTTAATACTGATTTTTTAGATAGAAAAATGTATGATATTTATATGAGGGGCCTGGAAGTAAAAGGGTTTAAGTAGATTTTTAGTAGTTCTGAGATAAATGGCTTCAAAGTTTATTTGAATTTGAAAATTCCAGGAATAAATTTATCAAAGTATGATACTATATTAAGTTTATTTAAATGCCAATAAAACATTACAAACAAAAAACATTTTCTTAATTTTGCTTTTTTATTGTCATTTTTGCAAAAAAGTACCTGAATCATTATACATGTTACAAAAACTATGGTGGTAACATGATTCAAGTGCAACTACCGTAGTAAACCAAACATTATTTAAAAATAATCTATAACAAAATTTCTTATTCATAATCAGAATCTAATATTTGGATGTCTTCATCATTTTCTTCATCTAAATCAGATGGTCTTGGTTGGGGTTTATCTATATCAGGTACTTTTTGGCTTGATGTCAGGGTCTGTGTTTCTTTTTTCCTTTTTTTTGTTAATGCTTTCCCATCGCGCTTCATGTTTTTATAAAATGTATGGTGAATGGGCGGAATGTATTCCAATAAGATAAGCAAGTTTTTGTACTTGGCGACTTTAATCTTTATTGAAGTGCCATTCAAAGGCTTTAGTATTGAAAAGTTAAAACACGGACGCCCAACTTTTGAGGTTGCCATTAAGCAACTGCAAAACTCTACATCAATGTTTAGAGTACTCTTGTATCGAAATGTTAGTCTTTCACTTTTATAGTAAGCAAACCAGCAAATTTCTTTCCATTTTAAGGAGCAACCGTCACTATTTTTTTTTGATCGTTCATAATTTCATTGAACGGCGAAAAACAGTAAAAATCGTCTTTGTTCATATAGTACACAATAAATTTGGCCGACGTGCCTCTTATTACAGTCTCCCAACCTGCGGGGACAAAAACTTGAGGGATTTGCCTTTTTTTCTTCTCGATTAAGCCAAAACTACGGTCACATTCCATGTAAGTGTCCCTGGATTCAAGGAACTTGTGATGAATCTAAGATATATGTGTAGCTTGAACAATAAAACTAAGTAGTTTAGCAATGTTTTTATTCTTATTTTGTCCTCCACACGAATCACTGTATGCAATAATGTTCGTAACTGTAGATGGAAGGCTTTGCACAAATTTTATTAAACATGCTCCTATCTCCTGTGAGCCCCTGGATGCAATAGTTTCGTTCCATACATACATATAACTTTTTCCAGTCAGTAAGTCAAAGACACAGAAATTATAGGTCAATAATTGACGAAGATAAAATACTTTAGAGGTGGTTAACAATGGCGTTGGCAATGCCTGTTGCAAATCAAAACAAATTACAGCCGTATTTTTAGAATCATTTTTATTTTCAGCAATATCAGCTTTTTTGGCATCTGTTGCTTTCTGGGCCTTTCTTTGGTGCAGCTCGAGGTCTTGCTTGGCATTTTTTATCACGTCTTCATTTGTAGAATATTTTATTAAATTTTGTAAATTGTCACAACGACTGCAGGTATCACTATAGGGCTTGTGGAATCTTAAATTGAATTCCGTATTGAAAATATGCTTGTAATAGGACTCTTTTACTGGTAATTCTTGTTTGCCAATACAAAACTCCTGATATAATTTGTATATCTTATTGATACTTAATTCTCCTGAGAGATATCTTGCGATCCCAATCAGTACTCATTTTGTTTATTATTATAACACTACCAACACTGCAAAGTGCGTATTTTTAACTAAGAATAATTAAAACGTTGAAATCACGCCACACGTAAAACTTTAAAAGTAGTTGCCAAAGCCTTAGAAGTAAAATGGTTCAAGTGCACTTGAATCATTTTACCACATACTGTATTAGTGGATATTTTGATATGTTCTCAAAGACTATGAGAGATGGCGCCAGGGAACGTTGCCTGCATTTAAATCATTTTACCACCAAGTTAGGAAATGCTTTAGGTATGATATTCTGCACTTAGACCATTTAATTAAAAAAGTGCACTTGAACCTTTTCCAAACCCCTCATATAATAAATATATATTTAGGTATTTGCAATATGCTTTTCTTCTGAACCTAGATTTTGAAAATCGATCCAGTACCGAAGCTATGGGCAAAAAACAAAAAAAAAACAAAAATTGCTCAAACTTTTCCTTTTTTCTAGGGATTTTCTTTATTTCTGTAAATTAAATCTCAGGAATTCAATTTACTTGCAAAGGTCGCCTATATAATTTTTTTCTGAAATTCTAAATTTGCTGGTCTAAAGAAAGATGTCCATGGAACATTTCTATCTCAAGGGCATGGCAATTACAAAAGTGAAATAATTAAGCATTGTTTCATGTGTGCCATATAGTATTTCACCTACATACCGACAAAAACAAACTACAATTAAGATACTAAGGTTGTCTTGTTAATAGATTAGTAGAATATATGCCAAGAAAATTATGTCAAATATCTCATTGTTGCTAAAATTAAAAGATGGAAGCGACTGAATGGAAAAATAAGATAAAAATACAGTGAAAAGCAATAATCGCGTGCTTGCGGTTTTTATAGAAATGGCGGCAAAAGATGGTACAAAACAGTTATTCGGTAAGGTCTTAAGACATCTTCAATACGAAAGCTATGTCGCTTTTAATTACAGACATGCTGAGACCGATTTCAATCAATGGATTAACGAGAAAGTTATTGCAAAAAACTGAATCACTTCCAATCTGCTTATACCTAATTTAAAAGCATACTTCGATAAAACTGGGTAATACTGCAGAAGAGCAAAACAAAGGAATTCTTAGACATTTCGAAAATGAATGCTCGCACAATCCTCTAGATTTCGTTGAAGCAAATGTTCAATGCAGTCTCAAAAATGGTGGTCTTACCTATGGAAACAACTATATTCGAAATGATTAACAGATATGCATAATCAATTCCTCTTTCGTAATCTGCAATATGACTGCCTAGAACTATCCCGAATAGAAAGGCTATGGAGTTAAAAGCTCCCAGTTTGTTGAATACTTTCGAACTTTCTTCATCGCTTGCACAGAGATCTGTCACTGTAGTCTTCAAAAGAGTCTGTACTGCGGTGTTAGCGACTGCAATTGAAAAAGGATAGTTGAATTGCAAACAATATAAATAGCTTATTTGATAAGGTAGTAGAATATCGTTAGATGTAAAATCACAAAAACCTTAGAACCCAGGTCCATTGAATAGATTTTTAAGATTTTTAGTCGAATACGTTTAAGATTCTGTATTTTAAAAAATACCTGATAATTCTGTGTGGTTTCCGATTTTCTCTAGTTTTTAATTTTGTTTTCTATATATACAATATATGTCTAGATGTAGATCTATATCACAAAATTTTATGTATCTGACACAAACGATCAGAATGAAATTGAAGATGTTATCTAAGGTGTAAAAGTAAAAAAAACACCTGGTTTTGATAACTGCATATACTCTGAACCGAAAAAAAAACAATGTTTCAAAAATTCTAGCGGATATTATAAAGTCCTGAATGGAAAGCGAAATATTCAGATCCCAACTTAAAAAGGCTATAATCAAACCAATATTCAAATCTAGAGACAAACAAAAAACGAAATTATTGGGCGATTTTCGTATTGACAAATTTTTCCAAAATTTTCGAATAAGTTCTGAAAAGGCGATTCTCAGATTTTATTGCGAAATTTAATCTCATCTCTAAGGAACAATGTAGATTTCAAGAGGGAAAATCTACTCTAGATGCACTCCTACTACCAAAATTATAAGTACCTACATTGATAAAAAATCACCATCCGCCTGCATTTTCATAGATTTAGCCAATGAACTCATGAAAAACTCGTAAATGATTAGAAAATTTGGGATTTCAAAGAAGAACTTATAATCTTATGGACAGTTATTTAAAAAATAGAACACAGAGTGTGAATATCAATAGCCCACTAAATGAAGACGTTACAGTTAGGTATGGAGTTCCACAAGGAACTGTGTTAGGACCAGTTTTATATAATCTACAGGGTGTTTCAGTTTATTGTTGCATAACTTTAAGATTCGATAGAACTTTTAAAATTAATGCATAAAGTCTATATGAAGATGGGTCGAAATATGCGTGGCTTCCGAAATACAGGGTGTGTAAATTTACTTTCTAAAATAGTTTTTTTTTAAAATTTCGAACAATATTTGATGTATAACAGTGAAAATTGGTATACAAGGGTTTTTTAGTATGACAAAACGAACCATGGGCATAGTTTTACTGTAGCCGCTAGAGGGCGCGCTCTACTGTACCTGTAGTGTATTAACATGACCGACATTTTTTTCTTAGTGCAATTTTATGCTTTTTGAATAAAAAAACTGATTCTTCGCACTTTTCAACATAAAAAAGCTCTCCTGTGAGTTTTCGTTATAGTTAGCCCTTTTTGAGATATTTCGATTTTTAAGGTTCGATGCATTTTTAATTATTTATGGGAAAATAATATTTTTTTTTACATTTTTGATTTGGGCATTACAAGTAATTAAGATGATCGTTTAGATTGTGTTTTTAAACACAGCAATAATTCCTAACTCCAAATAAACACAAAAAACAGAATGTTAATTTGTTTAATTTTCCAATATTATTTTTAACAAATTCAATTAATCATTTACAACTAAAATGCTATTGGATAGTTAGGGAAAACATACATACATAAAGTAGTTGCTCGAAATGTAAACCCTATTGTTCAATACACAATTCACATCTACGAATGATCGAACGTGGTATAGCATTATTCAAATAAGGCCTTATTTCATCACATGCATTCCTGATTCTGTCTATTAGCATATCTCTTGTGGTTACGGAAGTCTGGTACACTTTTTCTTTTAGAAATCCCCACACAAAGAAATCTAATGGATTTAGGTCAGGGGATCGTGGAGGCCAGGCGACTGGTCCTCCACGGCCGATCCATCTTTCTGGATAATTTTCGTCCAGCCAGTTTCTAACTATTCTCGAATAATGAGCTGGACAACCATCAAGCTGGAACCAGGCCAATCTTCTTAAATCTAACATAACATCATCCCACATAATTGCATGTTGAGCCTTTAAAAATTACAAGAAGGTCGCAGCATTTAACCTTGCAGGCAAAAGGTCCAAATAATCGATTACGGTAGATACCAATCCACACGTTCACACTAAATACATGCTGAAAATTTCTTTCCCGAACTGCATGCGGATTTTCATGCTACCAAATACGTTGATTATGAAAATTTACCACTCCACGTCTAGTGAAGCATGACTCATCGGTCCATAAAACGTTACTTAAAAACTCCCTATTATTATCAGTTCTATCAAGAATCTACTGACAAAATGTGATTCTTCGTTCTCCGTCCCCTGGATGTAGTCCTTGCACAGGTTGCAAATGGTACGGACGTCTATGGTCATTTCTAAGAACACGGTGAATATGGCTTGCTGAAATTTCCAAGGCACCAGAAACTCTCCTAACACTTGTGGTCGGATCTCTATCAAACTCACGCAGAATCATACGGGTAAATCTGCACTGACGAACATTTATGTTTTGATCCCTTTGGAGATTTCCAAAACCATTTTCAATTATTTGGCAATGCACTCTTACAAATACTGAGCGAGTTGGATGTCGTCTGTTTGGAAATCTTCGTGCGTATTCTCTGGCTGCTTCTGCTGCGTTTCCATTTACAAAGCCATACACAAAATGAATATCCGCTAACTCTTGATTGGAGAATAAAAATGGCATTTTTATAAAAATTACAAAAAAAAACAGGTAAAAGAAACTAAATTTCGTGCATTCACAATTGCAAAAAAAACGTTTTAGGTTTCAACAGACAACAAAACTAACTGTCAACTAATTGACGTTTAACCTTATTCTGCTTTCAATTTCAAAAATATTTGCAGGCACAGCCTACTTCTAAAAATTATCGAGATACTGACTTTTTAACGTTATTTTATCATAAATAATTAAAAATGCATCGAACCCTAAAAATCGAAATATCTCAAAAACGGCTAACTATAACGACAATTCACAAGAGAGCTTTTTTATGTTGAAAAGTGCGAAAAATCAGTTTTTTTATTCAAAAAGCAAAAAATTGCACTAAGAAAAAAATGTCGGTCATTTTAATACACTACAGGTACAGTTGAGAGCGCCCTCTAGCGGCTACAGTAAAACTATGCCCATGGTTCGTTTTGTCGTACCAAAAAACCCTCGTATACCAATTTTCACTGTTATACATCAAATATTGTTCGAAATATTTAAAAAAAACTATTTTAGAAAGTAAATTTAAACACCTTGTATTTCGGAAGAAACGCATTTTTCGACCCATGTTTATATAGACTTTATGCATTAATTTTAAAAGTTCTATCGAATCTTAAAGTTATGCAACAATAAACTGAAACACCCTGTATATGTTGACGATCTTTTTTAACTGAATAATGATGTAAAAATTATTAGTCATGCAAATGACACGGCTATTATGTATTCAGATAATGATTGGTATTATTTAAAGAACAAAATCGAATTGAATGTCCAAAAGTTAGTGAATTTTTCCACGAAAAGAATTTTGACAATTAATTTTAACAAAACATTCTTCATCACGTTTTCTACCGATAAGAAACCCCTTCGCTCTTTGATAAACCCTACATTCAAACACCAGATGGCTAGAAATACGTATATAGTACAATCAGTAAATAATACCAAGTACTTTTGGGATAACTTCTAACTATAATTTAAAATGGAATATACATGTGTACAATAAATTAAGATACCTTATTCAAAAAACTAAATATTTCACCAGTTTTCTAAATGTAAAGTACCTATACATGATTTGTCACGTCTAACCACTTATTTCTTATGGAATCTTGGCGTGGGGTAGAGTGATGATTAATTATTATAAAAATATCGAAATTGCTCAGAAGTGGATATTATGTTTGTTTAACAAAAATAAATTACATGTGTTTCACATTTGATTGATTAGCTTATCAACAAGTAATCTTAATTTTTGGTTCTTCTTAAAGTCCATCCTTCCGACAAAGAAACCAGCGGCGTGCTTAGTTAAGACACCCAGTTAAAATTTGTTATTGCGCCGCCACTGGGGTACTTCATGATGGAGATAAGGGCAAATTGTCCCCGTTAATATCTAACTTCGATTCACAGAATTTTATTCAAATCACTGAAGTAATTTAAGAGTAATTAATCATATAAGTTATCGAAGAACTAAACTTGAACATCGCGTATCCAACTAAGAAAGCCGTAAAACTCATAAGTTGACATGAACTTTTTGTTCGATTCTATAAGATCTACCAGCTTATTAAAATAAATTGAAAAACAAAAGCGCACAGAATTAGTAGAAGTTCGTCAGAAATCTCAGATTCGTTCAGGCCCCAGTTCCGAAGACCACTCCACTAAGAGAAAAATGTGACTCACCACATATCACCTTTGCAGTAGAATACAGCCACATCGAAGGAGATGCCCATGCAAGTATATTTCCGAAAAGGGATAACAGCAGGCACCAAATAATAACATCTTGCTTATTTTTCTGGTCGCTCAAATGGCCCTAAGCAAACATTAATTTTTACTCGCTGTCATCATAAGAAATTGACCTTGAAAATATTTTCAATACTTGAGACATGTAAATCTACGTTGAGATAATGCTATCTTATGATCATTCGTCAAGTATTCCTGAACTACACAACGTATTTGTTTTTACGGAAAACACTTACGATTGGATTTTTAAGAGCATGCATATTAAGTGTTGCTTTAAGTACCAAGACTCAAGTTTCAGATCCTTCATTTTTTTAAATGGAGTGCATATTAAAATTCCTGTGTCACTGCTATGGTAAGAGTTGCGAGCTCTTTGTTAATCTAATCTACAGGGTGGCCCATCCATGTGTGAACGGAATATTACTCATAAGCAATTGCATTTTGGGAAAATCTATTAATGGGATCTTGGACATTTGAGGGCACATTTCCAATTTCGAGCTACATATGAAAGTTGTGATCTTTCAAATGGAATCTTTCAAATTTTATTGCATATTGGATAAAACAATTCAAAATAAGAAAATTGATGTAACATACTATGGGGTTTTGGTTATTAGCTACTGAAATGTAAGGTGTTTCGTCCAGAAAAAACCATCCACTTCGGCAACCCCTCAATCCACCATTCTGAAATTTGGAATGCCGAATTTTGTATAAAAATAACTTACACACCTCAGCTCTTATATTATTTGTTACTTTTTCGAATTTTAATTTTTGCTCATACAGGATGGTCAAAAACGCAAATTGTAGTTTTTCTCAAACATTTCAAAGCATCACCCTGTATATTTGTGCAAGTTTGGATTCAATTTTTTATAAGCTTTTTTTTGTATAAGGTTTGATTCAGATAAAATCACTAGATTTTGAGTTAAGCTTTTAATAGAACAACACAAAAAAAATTAAGGAAAAAAATCACATCATCCAAGGAAACAAAAGACAAACCGTGAACTAGTTCCATATTGCCACTAAGAGTAGTACAGATTTGATGTAGAAACTAATAACAATCAGAACAGTATAAATCAGCTTCAAGCGTAATAGAGAAAATCAACTGTGCCCTAAAATGTCATGTATAACATGCCATAATTAGATTTAAGCATCCCACAAACCGGCGCGAAATATTCGCTTTGGCTGCGAAAATTTCGCGGCGATGAATTCGCGATCAGATTAAAACGCGGCGGTTTACGGACAGGCTCAAACTTGTGCGAAGCGAATGCGATTGTTCCAGCGTTTTTATCGCGGCGTATTTCAGTTCGCCTTTGACCGCGTTTTTGACGCCGTTCTTCAAAAATTCGCAATGGCAAAAACGGAATTATTGATAGAAATAGTGAAAAAGTATCATTGTTTGTATGATTTGTCGAACGATGAATACAGGAATGTGAGAAAGAAAGACAAGATTTGGATGGAAATAGGAAAAGAATTAAATACAAATGGTATGTACCTAATATTTTTGATTAACTTGTTAAATAATTTACAGTCTACACAAATGTGAAAACGAACATTCTATATATTGGGCATAGGCATATCAGAATTAAAATAATTTACGAATTTGTCACGAGTAGAAAATGCTAGCCTTGCTGCCCGCCGAGGATCATTTGCTATATCAGTAAAAGCTCCAAACACGGGTTCTGGGGGATCTAAGAATTGAAAATATTTGTCATCGCCACTTTTACTTCGTAAAAAATTGTGTAAAACACATGCCGTACGTACAATTAGAATAGTAGTATCTACTTTAGTTTCTAATGGCCTGTAAAATATTCGCCATTTTTGAGACAAAATACCAAACGCATTTTCCACGACCCTTCTAGCTCGACAGTCTTACATTGTATTTCTCTTTTCTGACGTCTGTTAAAGTCTGCTTATAAGGAATTGGTCTCATAAGGTATGGTTTTAAAGCAAATGCTTCATCACCAATTAAGACGTACGAGCAGATTTCATTTTGCCCAGGGAGAAATCTAGGTGCAGCGACACTCATTAAATTTTGTTCAAATCGTTTTCCCATGTTTGAGGTTTCGAAAATATCCCCATCACTATTTTTTCCGAAACCACCAATATCAACACATATAAATTTATAGTCCGGGCCAACAATGGCCATAAGTACTATTGAATATTTATGTAAATAGCACCAGTAATTGGAGCCACTGTTGTTAGGTCTCTTGATTGTTACATGTTTACCGTCCACGCTGCCAATGCAATTGGGAAATTCCCATCTATTTTCAAATTCTTCAGCACATTTTTTCCATATATTCTCTGTTGGTTCTGGTAAATATATAAAATATGCTCCATATGTCTCCATATCGCTTCACAGACTTCGGTTACGATTGCACTCACTGTTGTAAAGCCAACTCGAAAGCTATGCCCAATGGTATAGAAGGTGTCACCAGTGGCAAGGAATCTATAAAAAAAATCGTTTTTAGGTGATGAAGTAAAAAAAAAGGTGGAAGAATATCAGAGACACATTTGCAAAATATATAAAATCTACCAAACCAAAGACCGGCCAAGCAGTGGGCAACATAAAAAAATGGCAGTGGGCTGACTACATGGAATTTTTCCGTCCTTTTTTGGCATTTGCCAAAACGTCGTCTAATGTGAAAGATATTGACGTCATACATTATGAAACTGCCAAATTTAACTCAAATATATACCAGGAAAGGGCTGGAAATGTAGAAACCGAAAATTTGGAAGACCGCGGCCATGGAGAAGATGAAAATGCTGATGTAGATGCAGAAGATGCACAGAACGCCTCGGCAACACAGACAGCACCACCTTCTTCATTGAACACTACAGCAGTGACTACTCCAGGGCACACCTTTCCGCAGACTGCAACTACACCAAAATATAAAACGAGCAGAAAACGCTATGAACCACCATCTTCGTCTGTACAACAGCTCATTAATTATTTTGAAGGTAAAAAACCTAAAAAAGAGAACGAGGCCATTGATTCACTTTTCTTGGCACATGCACAGACTGTGAAAACACTTCCCTTAAAGCGTCAAGCCCGAATAAAACTAAAAATAGCCGAATTAATAGCGCACGAAGAATTTGAACATATTGAAGAAATATCTTCAGCGTCTACCCAGAATTCTGCAAGTATGTATGATAGTAGTATGTCGTCCTTCCCAAGCGGCACTGGGTTTACTCCAATAATATACCCAACAGAGGAGGCAAATTCTGCCTCGAATTATTTAGCAACATTTAATCCTAGTGGCAATATGTAGTCCAATTATTACAATAAAATATTTATTTCACGATCCCTGAAGTTTTCGTATTCGATAAGCCTACTAATTTTAATACATATAATTTTTTTACCTGAGTGTAATAGCAAGTCGTTCTTCTGGCGAAATAGCTTCACGATAATTTGTGTCAGATTTTCGTATTTCATCTTTCACCAAGTTCAATATTTCATCGAAACATTCTGGAGTCATTCTAAAATATACGTAAAAGCGCTGTTCATCCAGCCGAAGTTGTGGCATCAAGGTATGGTATTCCCCAAATTTATTTCGTTCCAAGTTAATATCATGTACCCACTTCCTTCGTTTCCTAAACAAAATTGAAAATATTTGTTTTATGTACCTCGTTAAACTTAATACATACCCAACTATCAAATGGCGTTAAATAAACATAACTTACCGTGCATTTTGTTCCTCTTCTAAAGAAAGAAATAGAAGTGCCTCCTCTTCTTCTGATGACGAGCTCATTGCAAAAGGCAAAAATAAAATGTACGCAACCTGTCGAAACCTTCACGTTCGCGGAGCGAAGCGAATAAGACGCTTTGGTATGAATAAACAGGCGAAACAGATTGCGAATTTCGCTCTGAATTTCGTTGCGAATACTTCGCCCCGATTATTTCGCGCCGGTTTGTGGGATGCTTTACTCAAAATGTATTTGTTTATGAGTAATATTCCACACATGGATAGGCACATTATTGTTGCCAATTCATTATAACTTATGAGCGATTTCTGAATCAAATAGAAAATCTTAACTTCTTTCAATGTCAGTACATAAAATTGCTTACCGCTATAGGTCTCCAAACAACTGAAAGTAAAGATGATAGAGAGCCCAGAAGTCCAATAGCAAAGAATGATCCTCCTAACAGTAAAACATGTTTGGTTTGTATGGCCAAATTCGTTACGAATGAAAGCACATCCTGAAATAGTATTAACATAAATTACCTTCTAGACAAACGATTTTGGTCGAAGTCTGAGATACCCATGAGGTTTCGACTGCCACTCAACGGCATACCTCATCAAGGTCCACGTTTTCCCTAATAATTTGTTCAAATGAACATTTTTGTTAGTTGTTCACAGATCAATTTTAATCCAACCGTGGTTGGTCGTGGTTACACAGACGGGAAGCAAAAGCATCTCCATTTCAAACAATATAGAGTGCTTTTCAAAAAAGTGCCCCCCTACCTACTTTTTGAACTGGTGAAATTAGCTCGCTGAAAGATCTGATGGAACTGATGAAAATTCATTTTTGCGCAAATGAAAGTTTCAAGATGGCAGCTGGGCGTCATCTTTAAGTAGAGTGGGGGGAACACGTGTTAATTCGAATTTCGATTAGCGATCTAGCCCTAATTTATGCTTCCCTACTGTCGGCAGTTGCAAATCTGTTGGCTCTCGATGTCAAACATATAATAATAATAATAATAAACGTCTTTGTTTCCAAATAGACTGATTACACTGGACAACAAATTTTAGTTTTTTAATTGTATCTTGTGGGAAAAGTGCACTTCTTTGTTAATTTTGGGGCGCTGAATCCAAAAATGACAATGAAATGAAAAAATTAGTTGCGGTTTAGAAAAAAACTTTTTATTTTTAAGGATATATTAAAAAAAGTAACAAGATTCATTTACTTATAAGAATCACTATATGCGCTGTCTTTTTGCTGTTCTTTTATGGATCGTTTCTGGAGCATCTCTACCATGAGTCCAACAGTAGTCTGCAAGCATGGAAGGATTCCACTTTCCCTGGTACCTTTTTTCCATTGTTGAAATATCCTGATGAAAACGTTCGCCGTGCTCATCACTTACGGCTCCGCAATTGTCAGGAAAAAAGTCCAGGTGTGAGTGTAGGAAATGTATCTTCAGAGACATATTACAGCCCATCTTTTGATACGATGACAGCATATTTTTGACAAGGGTTTTATAGTTGTCAGCTTTTCTATTTCCCAAGAAATTAGTGACCACCAGACGGAAATCATTCCAAGCAGTTTTTTCAATACCTGTTAAAGTGTTTTCAAACTGTGTATCTTTCAAAATATTTCGAATCTGTGGCCCAACAAAAATACCTTCTTTAACCTTTGCCTCACTTAGTCTTGGAAATTTCTGACGCAGGTATTGAAAAGCTGACTCCTCTCTATCTAATGCCTTGACAAAGTTTTTCATTAGGCCCAACTTGATATGCAGTGGTGGTAATAATTTTTTTTTCGAATCTACTAATGGCATATGCTGTACATTTTTTTGACCTGGATCTAGGAATTGACGAACAGGCCAGTTTTGTCTGGTGTAATGAAGTGCCTTTGCCCGACTGTCCCATTCACACAAAAAACAGCAAAACTTTGTGTAGCGTAGCTGCAGCCCAAGTAAAAGTGCAACAACTTTCAAATCGCCACAAATATGCCATTGGTGCTCATCGTATTTTATGCATGTCAATAGGTACTTCATATTGTCATATGATTCTTTCATGTGAACTGCATACCCTATAGGAAGAGATGGTAAAATAATTCCAATATGCAATAACACTGCCTTTAAACTCATTGTTGAACTGTCTATAAACAATCTCCATTCTTCTGGGTTATAGTTTATATTTAATGCCGCCAGTAAGCCGTTAATGTTACTGCAGAAAACCAAGTTATTCTCCATATTGAAAAATGGTTCTAAGTCTTTGTGGCGTTTACGAAAAACACATACCGAAACATCGTCTTCTAACAAGTTCCACTGCTGCAGTCTTGATCCAAGTAACTCTGCCTTCAGTTCTAAATCTCTTACAAGATCATTTAATTCTGACTGTGTTATTTTGTGCGGTTGGTGGCATGACGTGCTCGGTATAAAATCAGGATCTCTTGACGTTGATGGCATATCTTCTTCCTGCCGAATCACTCGATCGCCATGATCTGATTCGTTTTCTGATTCGCAAGTGTAGGATTCTGGGGGTTTTGGAATAGCATTTTCGTCACTGTGAGGCACAGGTCTCATCGCAGATGGTATGTTTGGGTAGTTAATAACCAATTTTTTTTTCTTGGACATACCTGTGGATTGTCCAACACAAGGTACCATGCAAAAGTAACAATCATTAATATGATTTGTAGGCTCTCTCCAAACCATTGGGACAGCAAAGCGCATAGACCGTTTTTTGCCATTTAACCAGCTCCTCAGACTTGAAGCACATGTATTACAGCAGATGTGGGGTGCCCACTGTTTGTCTTGGTCACCTAGTTTACAACCGAAATAAAGCTGATATGCCTTTGTTATTAGTGGAGTAATAGACCGTCTCTGAGACGCAAAAGTCACATCACCACACACGTAACAAAACTGATCTGGATTGTTTACACACTTTCGAGACATCTTGCATGAACGCTGTCAGCCAACTGAGGAAAAAATGGCTAATATAAAACAATATAATGTACACGTATGTATAACGTAACACAATCCTGCCGATTACATCATCTTTCCTTGCCGAATATAAAAATGTAGCACGTGCATTCTTGTGAATTACAGTATATTAACATTAACACTGTCACAGCAGGAACACATACAATTACCGTATCTCTAAAACTTGAACTAATATTGAAAAAATAAGTTTCATTCCGGTTTTAGCACATTAAAAATAGTAATATTTTGTTGATTTTGTTTAGGATATTTTTTGGCTGTAGCTGCTCTTGAACTTAACCCGCTATAAAAAAGTCTGTACAAAAGGTGAGTGAGACCTACTTACTCTACACATTACAATTACTAAATGTATATGCAGTGCTTACATTAATACATCTACTATAAAAGAATCATAAACTTGTATTAATATTTTCCTGAAACATGGTTACTACTGCTGGGATAAGAGATATTTTTTTAATTGAGTTTTGAAATTTGAAATGCTCAGAGTTTTATATTGTACCGGAAGGGTGTTATAAATGGAACAAATTTGGTAGCTGAACGATCGTTCAAATTGGGCTGTTCGGAATATCGGCGGTGTCAGCAACCCCCTGGATCTTATATTGATGTTATGCACATCTGTTCGAAATGTAACTTTTTCAAATAAGTAAGTGGGGGTCTTATACAAAATTATTTTATGATATAATGTTGCGGCATGCAAAAATCTTCTTGTTTCCATGTTCGACCAATTCGCATCTTTCAACTTATGGGATATTCGGTCTCGTCTTCTGATGCTGTATATTAATCTGAGGCAAGAATTCTGCGCAACCTGAATTTTTTGTTTGCCGTACAATATTTTTAAAGAGGAATATGTCTTACGAATGACCGAATTTACATGTTTTTCAAATCTTAAATTTACATCCAGTGTTACACCCAAGTTCTTTGCTTCACTGACAGTTTCAAGTTGTTGTGCATTGATGGTAAAGTTAATTGAGTTAGTAACAGCCTGGCGCGCATGCTTTGGCCCAAATACAATTACTTTAGATTTGCTAGAGTTAAGATGTAAACAATGTTCTTCGGCATTCTTTGTCAATAATGATGAATCTCTGTTGATGGTTGCACTCACAATGTCCACATCACTGGGTAGAAAAGTATGATACAGCTGAGTGTCATCAGCATAGCTGAGCATTTTGCAAGTATTTAAGCCTTTGCCCAGGTATGAAGTATAAATTGCAAAAAGGAGTGGACCCATAATAGAGCCTTGCGGCATGCCTGATTTTAAGGCTAATACGTTAGAATAACTTCCCTCCAAGAAAACCTTTTGCTTTCTGCTCTTTAGATACTTACTGAAAAAGTTGACACTATCCGAATCGAGGCCTATAAAATGCAATATATTTAGGAGTAAATTAAAATTGATCGTATCGAAAGCTCGACTAAAATCCAACATTATCAAAACTGTACACCTTCCCTGATCAGTGACTCTGATAATGTCATCTGTTACATGTAGAAGTGCAGTTGTACAGCTAAAATTCTTTCTAAAACCAGATTGAATTGGAGAAAGCAAAGAAAACTTTGATAGATGTTCCATTAATTGCAACTCAACCGCTTTTTCTAATAATTTTGACAATGCTGGTAAGATGCTTATTCCTCTGAGGTGATTAAAATCTGAAGGATTTAGCTTTTTGGGAATTACTTTTACAACTGCACTCCCCCATGCTTCTGGAAAAACATTTTGAATCAAACAACAATTTATTATATGCCTGATATAAGGAATAACATGTGGACAGCAAAGTTTTATTAGAAAGATACTCAAGCCTGCAGCATTTGTTTTAATACCAGAGATAGCTTGATATATGAATATTTCATCAATTTCTCTAAATTTGAATTTGGAGTTTGTCAGACAGTTATTTTTGTAAAAATTTGTTAAGGAATCTGGAGGTTCACTTGGGGAGATGGAATTTATAAAAAAATCATTCAGAAGGTTCACATCCATTAGGTTAGGGGGCAATGAGTTAGTAAAGTTATTTTTTAGCATCTTGTTTTGTTTTAATATCCTCCACATTTGCTGAGAGCTGCTATGCAAGAACTTATGGAAAAAATACGCTCTTTCCTCTCTTCCAATAGCGCTAGTGACATAATTCTTTAAATCTTTATAATACTGTAAGCGCGCATGAGTACCTGATCGTTTATAACTTTTAAGTGCTTCATCACGGAGCTGCTGCATTTGTTTGATCGTATCAGTCATCCATGGCGCCCTACCTTTTGTAACGCGTTTTCTAACTAAAGAGGCATGTCTGTCGAATAATTCAACTAAGCAGTTAGTGAAAAAGGCTATTTTCGTATCAATGCTGTCTTGGTCGAACATTTTGAAAAAAGATATACCACGGAGATCATTCAGAAAATGTTCCTCATTGAAAAACTGGAAACTTCTATAAGTGATAAATTTTTCTTTTGAATGTGGATTACCAACTGACATTTTACAAAAAACTCAGCACTATTCAAGTCCAACAAATTTATATTAAAATCTCCCGCTATTATAACATCATCCACAGTAGGATATA